GAATAATAACTGGAAGGAAAAATAGATCTCTTAAAACAACAATATAACAGCTTTTGTAATGACTCAGAGTGTATGCTGTGATACGTGGCATTTTCCACAACATCAATACAGCCAGCCTCCTAAAGTCTGAGTAAATTGGGCAGGAATTCTGGTACAAAACTGTCTTAATTCTCACTGATGACACATCAGCTCTCAAATGAAGTTCGCTGAGCTTTGGTTGCTGCTGGAATCAAAGTATCCTTTGGGCAGCTGGAAAACTGCAAGAGGGAGCTCACATCATTGTGACCAAAGGCCACATGGAAGGAATGGCTTCTGCAAAGGAAGAAACTTGTGAACTCTCAGCTTTGGCCCAGATTAACATCATGGAAATAGAAAAACCTGAAAGCATTGACTTTCATACTTACTATTAAATAAATTCTCTCACCACCTGAAACTTATATAAAATCCCTGCTAGGAGGTATCTGTGTTTCAAAGACCAAACGAGAACCGTGTGAAGGAAGATCTTTGGCTTTGTGATCATGTTTATTTTTTTAGCTTCATATGGGGAGAAGCAATGGTCTGTAAATGTGTAATTAGTACTGTATAAGCCACTGGTACAACTGAAGCAAGTTAGAGAAATGAGGAACCTTTCATATCATACAGAGTGTTGGCTGTGATTCTGTTGTGGTGAAAGACTGTATTGTTAAATTTAGCTAAGTGAATTATATGATATGTGTGCCTGCAACATCAGGAAAACAACCATGATGTCCCAGCTGCATGTGTCAAATCTTATGAAAATAATGTTCCAGCATTGCTATTTAGTTTGCTTTTTTCTTTCCAGCTCTAGCAGTAAGATATTTCCAATGCAATACATTTTTTTTCCTGTTGCCTGATATCTCTTTTGTAAAAAATCACACAAAATGCAGTGGGTTAGATGGCCAAGCCTTAAAATGCAACTTAAAATGTAACTTAGCTCCATGCACTGAATTGTTCAGGTGGCTCGTCTTTGAAAAAAAGTTGAGTCTAATGACTTAATTGGCATCAGCTTCATTTGTCTGTATGTGTTCACAAAGAAGTTTCACTTTTAATAAATAAAAGCTATTTCCAGCAGGAGGGAGCAAAGCATGGCTCTAGGCAGTATGCTTCCGTGCATTGTTCCACTACCAGATCACCGAAGACTTTGGCACTTCACTTTTAAGCACAATGACCTAAATAGTCTGAGAATGTATTTTTCTTAGAAGGAATTATATGTGGGAGCAGACTTGGCCTCTCTGTATCATTAAGACTAAAGTCTCCTGTCCTCTCTGTCAGTCAGCCCTTCCTTATACTTACTAAATCTTCATAACGGACTTGACTGGGCTGTTTCCATTTGTGTGGTTCCCCATGAGATACACTAATAAAGGCAGGAAAGTGACCAGATTTACAACAGAAAACTGGATAACTTGTGCTGCTACAGAGGATTTACAACAGAAGACTGGATAACTTGTGCTGCTACAGAGGTCACTTCAGATTTCAAAGATGTTTGAGCCTTAAGGACCCAGGATGGAAGATGAGTGAAATACGGAATTAGATTAACATATGGAATCATAATACTGCAATTATAATTATATATAAATATACCTCCTTCTATGATCTAGTGACCACCTGGTAGAAGAAGGAAAGGCTGTTGATGTAGTCTACCCAGACTTCAGCAAAGCCTTTGATGCTGTCTCCCACAGTATTCTCCTGTGGAAGCTGGCAGCCTGTGGCTTGGACAGTACACTCTTGGCTGGATAAGGAACTGGGCCCAGAGAGTGGTGGTGAATGGAGCTAAATCCAGCAGGCAACCGGTCACAAGTGGTGTTCCCCAGGAGTCAGTCCTAGGGCCTGTCCTCTTCAATATCTTTATTGATGACCTGAATGAGGGCATTGAGTGCACCCTAATAAGTTTGCAGATGACACCAAGTTGGCTGGAAGCGTCGATCTGCCTGGGGGCAACGAGGCCCTACAGAGGGATCTGGACAGGCTGGATAGCTGGGCTGAAGCCAATGGGATGAGTTTCAGCAAGGCCAAATGCTGGGTCCTGCACTTTGGCCACAATCACCCCAGGCAATGCTACAAGCCTGGGGCAAAATGGCTGGATGACTGTTAAGAGGAAATGGACCTGGGGGTGTTGGTTGATGCTCAACTGAACTGAGCCAGCAGTGTGCCCAGGTGGCCAAGAGGGCCAATGGCATCCTGACCTGCATTAGAAATAAGTGTGACCAGCAGGAGCAGGGAAGTAATTGTCCCCCTGTACTCAGCTCTGGTGAGGCTGCACCTCAAGTACTGTGTCCACTTTTGGGCTCCTCACTGCAAGAAAGACATTGAGGCCCTGGAGTGGGTTCAAAGAAAGGCAACAAAGCTGGTGAGGGGTCTGGAGCACAGGCCTTATGAGGAACAGCTGAAGGAGCTGGGATTGTTCAGTTTGGAGAAGAGGAGGGTCAGAGGAGACCTTATTGCTCTCTATAACTACCTGAAGGGAGGCTGTAGTGAGCTGGGGATCGACCTCTTCTCTCGTGTAACTGGTGACAGGACTAGAGGGAATGGTTTCAGGCTGCGCCAGGGGAGATTTGGGCTGGAAGTCAGGAAATACTACTTCTCTGAAAGAGTGGTCAGGCACTGGAATGGGCTGCCCAGGGAAGTGATAGAGTCACTGACCCTGGAGGTGTTCAAGGAACATTTGGATTTTGTGTTGAGGGATATGGTTTAGTGAGAACTGTTGGTAATGGATGGTTGGACTGGATGATCATGTAGGTCTTTTCCAACCTTGGTATTTCTGTGATTCTGTAATTTTCTGCATCAAAACAGCCTGTGGCAGAGGGGAGTTAGAACAGGTATGGAGAATGTAAAGAGCTGGCATAAGGGAAGGTTGCAGAGAACTGGAAAATAATAGAGCATTTATAAGGAGGAAACAAATAGTGGACCATAGAAAGGAATGTGAGTGCATCTAGGAAACTGGGAGAGAGACAGAATGGACTGAAAAACTGCATTCAGTGCAATGGGTTTGAAGCAGGCAGCCACTAATGAAATAAAGATGCTTTAGAAAAATTCTGTACTTATAGAGGTTCTTTTACTAACTGATAATCAAGCTGAATGCCTCAGGAGGAATAATCTAAAAAATACTCATATGTACCTACCTACCAAGCCTACCTGGTGGGTAAGACTGTGATTAGGAGGCTATAAGGGCAAACTGCTCAAAATTAAAAGCTTTTCTCCAGTTCCAGAGGTATAGTTGTGCTGAAAATGAAACTGAATAGTGAGTGTGGAAAGGGTATATATTTATTTTTCAGAAACGTGAGTCAATACTGAAGCCTTTTAAATATGTCCTCAGCATACCAGCTCCTTGGTAGCAGCTAATAACAAGGCTACTGAGTAAAACAGTTTTCAGTGGCATTCAATTCTGTTTATATGCTTTAAGATACCGTTGTGCAGAAGACAGTGAGATCACAGTATTATGAAAAAAAATAGTGTTCAGCTGAGCATTTCCTGTTGGAGTTATTGAATTTTTGGAGGTTGTTTGTTTTATTTGTCTTTTTTGTAGTTTAATTTTTTTTTTTGTCTTAGAATTTGATGGTTTAGAAGCCAACCAAGATCAATTACTTTTTTGGAAACTGTCTTGTTTGGAATTACTTGACCAACATTTATATACACAGAAGGGAAAAAGAAAAAACTTCTTAATTTGTGTTTGTAAATATTCACATATATACACACACACACATACATATACAGTTACAATTTACTTGAATTTATATATAGTTACAATTTACTGGAATCTAAATTATTGCAGTATTATATTTAGTACTGCAGTGTTTATATAATAGCCTTTTAATGTCTCTTCAGCAGGAGTTGATTAATCAGATTGGGTTGATTAATCAAATTCAGTAAATATTCACAGGACTGTTAGGGTTAAGCTAAGGGGGAACAGTGTGCTGACATTGTGCAAATTAGTTAATAGTGCTGGAGAGACTCACAGTTCTTTAACCCATGTTACTATTAAATGAATATGAAAAGCTGTAACTCAGCCACGGTCTTCCCAGGGCTGGAGGTATGTGCTTGACTGCATAAGTGAACACGTGAAATCATACCTGTTATTAATACAAGAGGTTTTGGCAGGGTACAGTAAGTTTTAAATAGAATCTGTCAGGCACTGATTTTCCAAGAACAGTCTCAGAAGAAGAAAGAGTGGACCCTGCTTTGGCCAAGGAATCACAACTACTGCCTCTGCAGTTACTGCAAAGAAAGCATTCCCTGTTGAGCTACATGATTAAGATCTGGGCTTTTTAAAATCTTTTTTTTTTTTTTTTTTAATTACCAGTTATCTATCATATAGGAAGATAACAGAAAACATAGTTTAATTTCTTTACCTTTTCATTTTTATGAATTTAACAGGCTCCTTGATTCTGTTGTTTTTATTGTCTATCAAACAGGATGTAAGTATAAGTTATACATTTTTTCTTCTAGCTAGGTATAATCCTTGGAAACCTGGCTAAGTGACAGACAGCAGTAACTGTTCATGTACTGGCAGAAGTCCCAAGCAGCAAACAAAGCCTGACGGGTTGTTTTATTAAATCCTTTCAACACTGCAAAAAAAAAAAGGGTCCTACTGAAATTTATGAGAACTTTGCTACTAGGTTCAAGGCAGTCTTGATTTCACTTCTTCTCAATTATCAAAAACAAGTGTGTGATATACAGCCAATTATCTGTTGCCAAATGATCCCAGCAGTGGATTAACTACCCAATTCAAACTACTTGCAGAGCCTTTTAGAGCTAACCTACAATGCACTTTACCATATGCTTCTAAAACTATTCTGTATTACACGTCCCCTTGCAAAAGATAAATGTTCCAAGGGCAGGATATTCTAAACTTTAATTATGTTTTGCATTGTCTCCTTTATGTTATATTATAAGACCCAAACAGTCTTATACATATTTTTAGGAGTGAGGGATTTCTCAGTTTTAAAGCTTATGTATTTCTGGCTGGAGATACTATAACGCGTAGGCGTTTGGGTCGCAAGAAATAAGTCCAAGTACTTTTGTTTCATTTTTGCAGTTTTTATTGATATTTCATTTTTCAAATTACAGTTTCTTCTGAATAATAGCTGTTGGGCTTATTTTGTGCTATATTCAAAAGTTTTCTGAACCATCTACTTTAGTTGTTTAGAAGGTTAGCTAAAGGAAGCAGCTGTTTTATCTGGTGCGACTCAGTTGCATGGGTGCACAGCTATGTGGCAAACCCATCTAACAGCACATTCTATCTGCTGTAGGCCACCTTGTCTCCCACTGGCTGGCTCTCACTGGAGGCAAGTTCTTTGCTAGGAGCTTCAGTAGAGTTGAATTCTGTAGATTGCTCTCCATTACGTTCACTTCCTGCAAAGACATTATAATTAAAATTAAAATATATGTAATATCTTTGATGCAGCAAGCTAGAAGTTATATCCTTTGTTAATGACACTTTAATAAGAGCCTTTTGTGCAGCTGTAAGGGTTCAGGAAGCTATTTTTTCTCAGTTGCAATCCATTTGCAAAATGCTCTAGGGTAACAACAGTTCACCTAATGGTGATTAATTATCATGCTTCCAACATTCTTTAAATAACTGCCACTGAAAAGCATAATAGTTTGCAGTACACCTGTGCAAGATTTGTTCTCCTTTTTGTTTGATCTTCTAATACTCACCTACCATGCAGGAAATGTGGAGAGCATTACGGTTCTGTCTGTATGGAATACAGAAAACCCCCCAAACTCACCTCTATTAGCTCTCTTCTTCCATTTGTTTACCTTCTGTGATTTTAGTCTTCTGCCCTATTTCAGAAGTGCAGTTGGTCTCTACACGACCAAACTGTGCCAAGAATGTGTACTAATGGTGTTTACTTAATGTATCCTACCCAGAGTGCTCTCAGTGCTGCACAGATGTCCCTCATGCTGAAGGAATCTATTTTCTCAAGATTTCCAAAAAGAAGGTGTGAATAAAATGAGTAAAAGATGAATGCTAACCACAACATTCCTGATTCTGCCTTGTCTGAAGTCTGAACTATGAATAATGTTGCTGTGCTTGGACTTTTGCTTGTTTACACATTGTGTCTCAGAGCTAATGGATAAGTCTTCAGCTTTGCTAGCATTTGAATTTTCTGAGCCTACAGGTGGGGTCAAGTTTGGCTAATTTAGATGTGAAAAGCATGTCTAAGTATCTATGTTTAAGCATATGTATTAGATAGACAAGATTTTACTTGGGAGGCACTAAAGGTATCTCATTCTGCCTGTTGCTTACACAGGCACTTATTTGAGGATTCATTTTGCTAGATGCCAGTTAGATGAGTAAGGGATGTGGACTGAATCCCAGTTAACCTGTTTGGGATGCAATTAAAGGCCCCTTATAAAGTGACTCACTGTTAGGCAGTGCAGTCACCACACTATGCAAGGGGAATTTTTGCATTTAGACATACTGTCTGAGTATCCATAAACACTCTGGAGTTCCTGTTTTTAGTTGAATTTCAAGTTGTTAACACATTCCCTGGAAAAAGCCATCCACAGCTTTTTTTTCTTTTTTTTTTTTTTTTTTCCTCCACAATGGCCACTCTTCTTGTTTCTGGTTTTGATTATCCCCATGGAAACCATCATGATTTAGTATATAAACCACTTTGGATTCACACTGAAATGGAACCAAGGAAATTCTATTTACAACATCCAAACCTTTTCATGCACCATCACTTTCATATTTTGCCATCTGCACTGCCCTCCAAAATACCAACTTTGCAAACTGGCTTCAGACAATTTCTACAGATTTTTAGAACATCTGCAATGAAACATATTAAACAATTCTGTGTTACTAGAAAAGTCACTGCCAATAAATACAATGAAGAATCATTGCATTTGTAAAATTACTTTTGGTAAACTATCTTCAATTTCACTGAAATTCATTTCAGTTATAAGCCAGGAACAAATGATACATTCCATCATTAAGTAATACAGTCTGATCACATAATGAAACACCTATTTAACTTTGGACAATGTATTTACATAATGGAAAGAAAATTACACGATAGTCAAGTTGGATATATGTACACAACAGATTCTATATTGAGTTGTGAATAACCGAAAAGGTATGTAACTTCATAGAGATTCTAAATATTATAGGCTTTATTCTAGATACTGGAATTTAGGAGTTTAGGAGTCACTTCATTTTCTGCTGGACTGAGACCTACAGAGCTTTGAGCCTTTATATCTAATTTGACATTTTTAAGTCTAGGCATTTCACATGGTAGTAAATAGAGGATCAAGAAGAGTTTCTAAAACATCAGTGGTAGTCTATATGAAGTAAGAAAGGTATTGATTCCAAGAAAGTGGTGAAATGGAAAAAACATGACTCATCAAATTTGTTTGAGAATGCATCAGAATATCAGAAGAGATGCTCTACAGCTTTACACTTGCATTTGAAAACTGGACTGTTTTATTAGCCATGATTTTTGCTGCCATGCTTGTGAAATCCATCAACTTGGCATGAGGTGCAAATTGCAACCCGTGACAATCAAAACTCAACAATTAGACTGGACTGTGTATCGTGCAGTTCAAAGCCCTATCACAAAGATTTATAATTTCTCAAGAGCAGGAAACTGCTCTTTTTTTCTACTAAGTAGGTGTTGGATTGTATCTCACAGTATCTGACTGCCGAATAGTCCCCTCTCCAGACAGAGTGCCAGGTGCATCAGCCAAAAATGGTTTGCAGCATTGCTGTCTCAAATCTACCATCCAACATAAAGCAAAGATCCCATATGATGGCCTGGAAGCACTCCAGGAACAGAAAGTTTGGAGTAGTCAGGTAACAACAGAGCTGCAAGGGTTCAGCTCAAGAAGGGAAGTACAGCAAGCAACCCCTGGTGCCGGGAAACGATGAATATTGATTTAAAAATAATGGCAATGTATATCTGAAGACCATTGTTCTCTTGACTGAACTGGCTTGGACACATTTTACAGTCTCACTTGTCCATTCATGCTGAAAGTGATCTATGGGATCAGTGCAAATGACAGACTTGTACTGATGGGTGACAGAGCTTTGGCATGAATTTCAGCACAACCTTCTCTTAAAAAGAAGTTGAGGGTGTCCAGCAGTCAGCATCTGAAGTTCATACAATTCTGCTAGCTGAGCTGATGAGCACTAAGAATCATTTTTTTCATAGGACATTGGGCTCAAGCTATTATTGAGAGAGCCACTGCAGTCACCAGTGCTCTGCTGATTTCTGGAGCTGAAATATGTTTGATGTGATGTCTATTTAAGCAGAAATTTTATGAGAAGTTTCAGTATTCCAGGGTGAGAAAAGATTGAAGATGACTATAGAATCAAAGTGACAAGCCAGCATTGCTATGAGATGGAATTTAATAGAAATGAACCATGTGATTGCATTGCCATGGTGCTGAGGCCAAGCAAACACTGGCTTGAAGAGAAGGCAGGGTGTTGACATGTATTTTTTAAACCTTCCTTTAAACCTTTCTCCATAAACCTCACACTGTACGACTTGTTTTTCAAAATTTGACTCATCTTGGTGAGCTCTTACAGTGTTTTTTTCTCTTCATCTCTCAATTTTTATAGAGATTTAACATTTGACTTTAGCCGTTGACAAGGACAGAATATTGAGCTAGACAGACCTTTGGATTGACCCATACACAAATGTGGTGTTATGTTCTCAGTTTGGACAGCTTAAAACCCCCTACATCTCAAAAGCAATCTGCCCTGTTGTATATTTTCCCATTTTTTAGGGAATTTCTTATAAAGGCTGGAAGTAACCTCTGTCCGTGGTGCTCAGTCAACAGCTTGAGCTGTAACTTCAGCTCAGGCTGGCATTACATATCCAGAATGCTGCAAAATTAAGTCTCAGAAGTTCTAAAAGCTACACCCAGGACAGTTTAAATATCAGAATCAATGTTTTCAAACTAGGAGTGTTCTGACCAGCAGAATACCATCTGACAGACTGAAAGACACAAAGAGATACCAAGAAACAGATGAAAAGGCCTGCAGGAAAAATGTTTAATCCCCTTTTGAAGAAAAGTAGTGATATAGCCTGTGTCTTCAAAAGGAACATTAATTCTTTGTGTTTGTATTGGAACCACCAGTTTGATGGCTCAGTCCTTTTGAGGTAGTCTGTTGAACATTAGAGATGTCCTGCGTAGCTTGGTGTTTTGGACAGTGCATTTTGTTCACAGAAATGCAGCTGGTTCCCAAAGCAGAAAGTGTTGTGAGGATGAGTCCCTGGGACATAAAATACCACTTGGGACATAAAACTATTGTTCAGACCTCCAAGAACAATTTAAAAATCTCAGCCTGCCAAAAACGGATGTTTTTTGTTTGCTTTTCTTGAGGCTATCCAAATTTACTAGCAGCACACACAAAAGGAGATATTTATTTACTCAAATAAATTGAGCATTCAGTACAAAGCAGCAGACTGAAATTGGTCTAAATGTGCTCAGAAATGTGAAAAAGAATCGAAAGAAACCCTGCATGGAAATTGATGGTTACAAGGGAAAACTATAAGGGGTGTAATGACACAGCTATAAAAAAAAAGTAAAATGAACTTATCTAGTCTGAAGCCAAAACATGAAGAATCCATAATAAGATATAGCTAAAGCCACAGTAACAGTGATTAGAAGTTAGGGTCCCTCTCATTATAGGAATCACAATGCTTTCATTTTACCTGCTTCTGATAGACAAGAGGCCAGTCTTCAAGTTAAGGTAAAATCTATATTGCAACTTCAAATAAGGAACAAATCATTAGAAGATTTAGCTTCATCATCTTTATAATTACTGCAGGAGGACTTCTTTAGCTCAATGAACAGGACAATTAAACTTTATTATGGACTAATTGCTCTGAAAGAAGTATATTCTATTTGGCATCTTTCAATTTTAGGATAGTCCAAAACATGTACCCTGGACAGTGCAAGGTATTTAATCTGTGGAAAGTATTTTTCCACACATGTTAACAGTACTACAGACAAGAGAAAATGATAAACAAAGAAGTTAGCCTTATTTAACGTCAGGAAACATTCGGCTCACCTGTGGATGCTTTCAGTCTTCTAATATAATCAGACCAAAAGGAACAGTCTGCTTTTTTCAGTCCTTTAAGAGTAGGCATTGAAATGGTGAATTCTTTGTAGTTATCTCCATCATCATTTGGCAGAAACATTGGCCAGGGTGGCAGCAACCGTGACATTTTTCTTGAGAAACTATGAGGATAATTTGGATTTCTAAATGGAATGAGAGAAATGATTTTTAGAAAATAATGACATGAGCAGTAGAATCAGAACACTAGATCAGCTGGGTCAAGGAAATGCATATCCAGTCTTTCTGACCAGCAGCATTCAAATCCAGTCCAGATTGTTGAATAGTTCATGGTACCTCATTGGACAGTCACTTGTTAGTCTGGTTCATTTCCTAAGGAACAGGTACACAGGGCTTGTATGGACACAGGCTCATCAGTACCCTCAGCAGCTCTCAGTCCCAGAGCAATCCAATTTAATCTAAAGAGCTTGTGAAGCTGTTGTTCCCACTCTAGCTTTCTAGAGATACTCCTCGTTCTCAAGTATGGCCACAACACAGTAAAGCTGAGGATCATTCTCATGTAGTTGGCAGACGTGTTCAGTGTTCGGTCTGTGCTTTCCCCCTTCTGGTGGGAATAAGGAAAACCTAAGCTCCAGAGCTAAGCTGGAATCCTAGAAGGCTTTGAAACAACATTGAGCCCCTAATATTTAAGTAGATTTGCAGATGCTCCATGGAAATAAATTTCTTACTACTTCTAACTACAAATCATACTACAAATCTTCAGTATCTACTTGACAATGTGGCCATGTCTTTCCAATACATTTTGACCAAAGAACCCTTGGTAGGAATACTAATTGCTAGAGGAAATGGAGGCTACCTGAGTGATGGCAGGAGTTGACTTACATTCCGTATACTCTTTCCACCATTCCCACCCACAGAATCTCTTTAAATGTTATGTATTTACCCAGAGTTCACAAAATTGGAGATATACTGCATAATTTGTAAGGAAAGGCTCTTTTCTTCCAGAGTAAATTGTTCTTCATACTTGGGATAGAATGGCAGTCCAAATGCATATTGAACATCCAGCAAGAGCTCCAGACCTGAACTAAAAAAATATTGCATGAAGATAATTAAAACCATCATTTATTTATTTGGAGGAGAAAGGGAGCTAATTTAATTCAAGAAATAAAGCAGTTTTTAAAATAATTAATGACCATTAATAATAATTTTCTGAGCTGTAGGATTTCTTCAATCCAGAATGTAAAGAAAGAGTAAGTGATAACAAGGAGAATTTGCAATTAAAGGTCTTCAGCTTGTTAGTAGAGGAAATTGTGGACAGCAGGGCACACTTGCCAAGTTAACTAGGCATGTAATAGAATGTAATTTGGATATTGCTGAAATGCCTATTAGTTTTTGTACAGATTTTCACTAACATTAAATTCAGAAAGCAGAAGCAAATGGTGACATGGAATCTGGCAGCCAATTTGGAAGGTTAATTATATTTTATTTCACAAACTTGAAATAAAATCTTGGCCTTCTAACTGGCAATTGGAGATTTTCCATTGGCTTCTTTGGGGCCAGGATTCTGGTCCAAGTCTTTGGATAAAGAAAGATGTAATAGGAGATGTTTATGAAGATTTCTCTTATATATAGTTTTAATCTAATTTCTGGGCTGGCTGGGTGGTTTTGGTTCATACAATCTGTTCCCTCCAAGTTTTATGTGGCAGTCAAGTCAAAACAGCTTGAAATAATCACCTAGATCAAATTTAAGAAAGAATCGTTGTTTACTTCCATGTAATAATTAACACATATAATAGGTAATTTTTTAACAATTCAGAGGCAAGATTGCCTATGAAAGACTACAACCCTTGCAGGACTTAGTAGCAAATTTTATACAACTCAATATTATCAAGCCCTGAGGAAAAAACAGCAGACAGCTTTCATTAATAACATTACATTATTCTCAATCTATAGGTTTACATCACAAATCTGAACAGGATATTTCTGGTCTGGAGTCCATTTGCATTTTTTGTATCATGAATTTAAACAAAGATCCTATTGACTTGGTTAAATGCTACATGAAGACAGACAGCATCAGGGGACCTGAGAGAAGGAACAGATGTCTCTGAGCAGAGACAAACAAATCCCAGATCCACTCAAAAGAATTTCATCTGCAGTGGCTGCAGAGGTTGTTGTTGAAAGGTGGCACAAGGCACAACTGAAACTATTTTATCTTTGGACGTGAAATGCAGCACTGATCTGACCCAGATAATGTCTCTCATAGAACAAGGCTTGTATTTCAAACCATCATGGGCAGGTGGACTGCAAGCAAGATGACTTGTTCGCATTTTATGAGTGGTGGCACTGCCCTCTCTCTATTTCGAAAAACAAGCACACAACTGTCTAAATGAAATACATCTTTGGTTGTATTTTCCTTAGTCTTATCATAATACCTCAGTAATACTTTGCATCTGGAAAGCGAATTATTCACAGATTATTCACCAAAAAAATGCAGAACTGAAACAAGATTAAAGCATATTTTTCTTCCCCAAATGTTTACTGAAGGATTAAGCAAGATCATAGTTTAATAATTTTACTTTAAAAATAATTTGCTTGGCTCAATACATTACAGCAATATTTAGTGTCAGTATTGCAGCAACGGTATTACATACATGAAGGAGCTATTATCTTTTTGATAAAAAAGTCACTTTTTAATAGAACAGATGACATAAAATTAGATGACATAAAATTTAGATGGAATGAAGAGACAAGCTTACACTTCGAAGGAAGTAGCAGGAGCAATTTAGCTCAAAATCTAAAATGACTGTGTTAGTAGTGAAAGTTTATGCAAAAACAAATGTTATCAGCCTTTGTTTCTAAAGTAACATCTGTTAAAATCACAGCCCAGATTAAAAAACAAAAAACTCCTAAATAGTTATTTTATTAGGATTGAAAATATTTATTTACTATTTTTTTATTGTCAATATTTATTTATTTAATGTTTGTTTGTTTATATTATTTGCATATTCATTAGGGCCACAGAAATGATCCAAGGGATGAAACGCTTCCACTAGGAGGACATGCTGAGAGAACTGGGGCTGTTCAGCCTGGAGAAAAGAAAGGTCCAGAGTGACCTGATAGCAGCCTCTCAGTATCTAAAGAGGGGTTATAGTAAAGAAAGGGACAGACTATTTAGCAGGATCTGTTGTGATGGGACAAGGAGAAATGGTTTCAAACTAAAAGAGGAGAGATTTAGATTGGATATAGGGAATACATTTTTTACAATAAGAGTGGTTTTTTACAGTAAGGCTGGTGAGGCACTGAAACAGGTTGTCCAGACAGGAGGTGGATGCCCCATCCCTGGAGACATTCAAGGTCAGGCTGGACAGGGCTCTGAGCAACCTGCTCTAGCTGTAGGTGTCCCTCATCATTGCAGAGGAGTTGGACCAGATGATCTTTAAGGGTCTCTTCCAACTTAGATGATTCTCTGATTCTAAGATACAAGTACAATAAAAGTCTACGAGTTTAGTACAGAGCAGAAAGTGGTACAAAACTCTACAATTTCATGGGCTGTTTTCTGGCTAGTGGTACAACATCCTGACCTGTGAGTATCAATAGTAAGAGGATGAAGAAAACATAATCTTAAAAGTGGAAAAAGGAACAAATATGTCTGCACAGGTCTGCAGTAGAGTTAAGACAACTGTGAAAGATCTAAATGGTCACTAAATGGAAAATATCAAGGAAAGTTTTTACTCTTCACAGAATCACAGAATCACCAAGATTGGAAAAGACCTTCAAGATCATCCAGTCCAGCCATCCACCTATCACCCATAGTACTCACTAAACCATGTCCCTCAACCCAAAATCCAAACATTCCTTCAGACTCTGATCACCATTCATTATTGTCAGAAGTGATCAGCCAGAAACAGGGATTTTGGAGTAGGATGTAGTATTTTTGAGCTGATAGAGATCTCAATGTAGCAGCAAGTAGTTACAGTATTTTTATTAGAGTGGGACAAAGAGGGCAGTGACGGATCAGCATGTATAGCTTTGCTGCTAGCTCTGCATAGAAGTTGTTCCCAACTGCACTCCTGATACCCCAGGGTTCCACATAGGTGACTTATCAGCATCAGCTCTAATTGGAAAAATGCAGAATCCAACAGCTGGTAAAGGACAGATAGCTAAAATGGAGGATTGCATAGACAATAGAAAAAAAATGGGTTCTGAAAGTGTTTTTAAGGAAGAAAAACTAATATATATATTTAATATAAACATATCTCTAGCTGGAGTTTGGCTAGAATTGTCAGTAAATTAGTCAGGCTAAAAGAAAACAAGTTGAAGATTAATAAGTCTGGCATTAATGCCCCTAACATATTTATTTTTCAGTCTTTTTAGCTGTATTGACCAATAAAAATAGATATTTTAGCCATCATAAAGTATAGATAACTATTATCAGAATAATTTTCCAATATATATGGTTAAGAAAAAGAAATGCATGTGTTGCCATGTTTTTCAATGTGGCTTTTTGCTTTATTTATTTATTTTATTTCTGACTGATATCTACACAACAGAACCACAGAAATGGATACAGAAGTGCACTGGAGAACATTACACTGTGCTACTGTGTGATAGGAATTTAGCTAATGTTTACACTCCAAATTTCTGGATAGTAGTTTCAGACACTGGGTTTGGTATTTGGGTGGTCCTATGCAGAGCCAGGAGTTGGACTCAATGATCCTTATGGATTCCTTTCAACTTGGTATATTCTAGGATTCTATGACTGATTCTATCTTTATTCATACCAACACTTTTGGACAATTTTCTTCATACTCCTTTATATACAATTTATGTACTCTACACGCTGCCTGTCTTATGATACAAGCAACCCTTTTTCTACTAAGGCTTCAATCAAAAGATTGATAGGCTTTAGGCAAATATGGAATGACAGCTGCATTTCTTAAGCCACACCTTTAACAATCCTGACCCTCAATAGCACATGTCTGCAGGGCAAATATATATATATATATATGTGTATGTATAACAAAGGATAGATGTATATGAACAGAAATCGAATGAGCCAGTGTAAGTACTGGTGTGACCTCTGCAGTTCTGGAGATGCATTTGGTTCTTTGTGTCTCCTCACATTACAAAGTACTGCCAAACTAAGAGCATGTGAAAAACAGATTAATTCTTTTATTTCTTTCTTCTTTTCAGGAAAATCAGGACATATGGAAAAAGCTTAATTCCTAGCAGGATTTAACTGCCAAGTTTATCCCCCTTTGTACCAAAAAGGCCCTATGGATACATGTGATTTGTGAAAGTATCCTGGAGTTTGCTGTGTCTTTTCCACTTGGTTTACTCCCAGTACACACAGTGTTCTACTTTGCACTATAAGGTTGTGCCAATGGAAGAATGTAAAACTGAAATAGCAGACAATAAATTCAAGAACCTGAAATCTCACAGAAACAAACAAACAAAAAAAGCTAAAAGTAATTCATCTCAGTAAAGGAAGGAAGCACTGTTACCCTCTCAGATGTCTTAAATAACAGATTACAGAATTTTGCCTGGAAACTTCTGTATTAAAAAGTCAGCAATAAGCATGTTGACACTTTTGTGCATTTTGGGGGATCAGTATGCTAAATGAATGGATGGATTTCCTTAAAAAGTGTATGTGTTCATCCAAAGCCCAGAACATCAAGAAAGGTCTCTAGCTATATGGACTTTGGGTTAATCTGCTAGATTACATTTTCTGGGAACAGCACATGCTATTGCAGCACATGCAGTTCCAAAATAGTTTTGTATTTTTCTGAGTCTCTTAGCTGAATTTTGCTTAACTTGAAAGTGATTTTTGATGCTTCCGAGCTTGGTGCTTTGCCTTTGTATATCTATGGCTAAACTCCAAGATCAGATCCAAGTTCTGAAAAATCTGCTGAATGATAAAGGTCCCTAAGCCACTCTGTGGGAAGAAAAAACAAGTTGTCTAGACCTCAACCCTTCAGCAGCACGGATGCTGTATGGACTTGAGAATCATGTGGCTAATCAGCAAAAAAGTATTTTTATAGCTGTTGCAAGAAAAATACAACAGATAAGGCAAGAGGGAAAAGA